ATTTTCTCGCCCCCTCGCTTCCGCTTTTACCTTTTCCCTCACAATGCCGTCTTCCTTACTTTTTATGCATATATTACATCCCATTTTTAAAACGGATTTTTAAAAAAGGGAATGGAGTTCTCACCACTCCCGCTCGGCCTGTCACCGGTGGGGCCTCCACTACGGAGCTCTTACCACATCCCGCTGTCACTCTGTGCCTTATTTCTTCTCCCCCTCATTTTGCCTGAGGGGATCGTTTCTTAATTTTCCGTCGGCAATAAAATAAACCTTGCCCGTTTCTTCCCCCAACCCGCCTCATCTCGTGCGGCAGGCTGATGAAAGCTATGACACATGTCTCCTTTTGCCGCGCCTCCTCGGTCGTGCCACACGTTTTTGGCAGAGAGTAATTTTACAAAACCATTTAATAAATGCGTCAGGAGGCGGTGAGCGTGCTGAGCGCGGCTGAACTGCTTCGTAGCCCACACCCTCACTCTCCCCGTCAGCCTCTCTCTCCCTGTCGCGCTCTCTCGCTCTTCTCTCTTCGCTGATTCCTTTACTGCTGGCCAGGTGCTACGTTGTCTGCTGGCGATGCATGAAGTTGTGTGATGACGACGGGACGCTTCCGAATGGGCCCTCCCTGCCCATCGTCATACGGCGTAGGGGTTGCGAGAGGGCCCGGTGAGAGAACCGTTCGGACGCAGACTGGCCGAGTGTGCGCTCGTAAAGATGAGCGGCACGGGAAAGACAACCAGCCCTTGTAGCGATCAGCTTGCTGTAAACCAGTTTGATGGGCTGGGCAGCGCCAACGCAGAAAAGCCAGCTGCCTCTGGCGGAAACTGCTTAGAGTGGAAAGAAGACCTGGCACAGCTCAGCGTGTTTGTAACGCAACTTTCTTCATTATGGTGATCCCCGCGATCAATTTAGGACGGATAATTTCGAGATTGATGCTGTATGCTGCCAAAATCTACATACCGCCCTCCCCTTTTTTTTTAAAGAAAACAATAATTACGTATTCTGATATTATTGTTTTTTTTCCTTCTTTTGAGAAAAAAATGCTCTGTAACAGGGCAAAAATAAGTGCATGCTCAACTTTCCTTTACCCTGCGTTCCCCGCCGCGAAGACGTCTCTCCCGCTGTCACGCCCGGAATTCATTTTCTTTTCCGCTTGAATATGTATGCATTCATTCCTCCCTCCTTTTGCTGATTTGTTAATGCAGCGCCATGTAAATCGCCTGTTACGCCTGGGCTGGGCCCCTGGGCTTGTTTGTTGGGAAGGAAGTTCTTGATCTCAAATTCATTACCATTGCGTCCTGCGTCCGGTCTGCCGCAGCGCTGCACTGCTTTTTTGGGGAAACAGCGGAGAAGTCAGAGGATGATTCGTTGCGACGCGAGGATCATCATCCTTGCGTCATGGATTGTCTCGGTACTTGCAGATTAATTGCACTCAAAGTTATGGCGTATTTTTACAAACTCACAATCTAACTTGACCTTGGACGTTCACATTAGAAATGTTTCCCCCATGAGACAAACGACTCCTTCCGGTTTCGCGCGCTTCGAAGCTTTTTAAAAGCAGAAGGGTGATCTAAAAAGAAGGGTATCTAATCTCGGAAAACCCGCGGATTTAAAAAGAGATGGTTTGTGCCATGGAGTCGGAAGAGATAAAATGGAGGGGGGCTTCTTTTGTCTTGGGGCCAAATCGGGCAGCTTTCCAGCGGGAGGGTTGTTAACCTCGCAATCGCCGGTCACAGCGTCCGCGGCCGTCCAACGTCGTTGAGCTAAGCGCCCACGTCTTTCGAGGTGAATGAATTTCAGGTGTCGTTACCCGAGATAGGCGACAGCAAATACCGTTTATTGTGAGGGGGTAACGGGGGTTAGAGCATGGCAGCAAATCCTGCATGGAGCAGTTGCACTTGGCACGTCCCTCATAGGACGTGCCTGGCTTGGATGCTGGGTGGCTGCCGGTCGCATCCTATATAACTAGAGCCGAGAGGAAAGGAGGGGAGAAAGGGAGGGAGGAGGGAGAGAGAGAGAGAGAGAGAGAGAGAGAGAGAGAGAGGTGAAATAAGACGGTTACGAGTTACGACATTTCCTCATTCGCCGGGATACGTTTAACAAGCGCACGGGCTCCGCAATGTAGAAATGCCTGCTTTTACTGCATTTGGATGCCAAAGCTGGAGGCGCTGTTGTGCACTCCCTGCCGCTGCCCACCCCGCTCTTGCTCGCTCGCCTCCCTCTATACTCGCACCACCTTCAGCCCGAGGTGCGGCCAGCGCCACTCGCGCGCGCGCGCGTGTGTGTGTGTGTGGGCGAATGAAATGGGTTAGGGGAGAGGACGGAGGGGTAACAGCACTGCGTGGGAGAAAAAAAATAAATAAAAAGACGGGGTGAAAGTTGAAGGCAGGCGCTGGAGGAGGACATAAATCCATCGCTGTGCATGGTGGGCGGAGTGCGCGCGGGGGACAGGAGCGCGGGCCGAGGCACGCGATAATGTTAGAGATGTAACGCGCGGCGGTTGTTGTTGTCGCCATCCGTCTCCCCTTTCACCTTCTTACTCGCCATGATTTTCTCTCTCGCTCTCTCTCTCTCCCTCTTTGGCACTGCACGCTCGCGACCATCATAGTATCTCCCTCCCACACACTCGGCCTTTTCTTCCCCCTTCTCCTTCCTCACATCACCGTCGTCGTCGCCACCGCCCCAACTCTGGCCATGCCTGCAGAGTCCTTCCGTCCGTACATCCCCCCCCCCCCTTCCATTTCTCCTTCACACACACATGAGGTACCCTCTCCCCCTCTCCTCCCCGGCAGTCCTCTTGCGCCATCTATCTTTTGAGCACTCCCAACTGCCCATCCATCAATCCCTTCGTACCTGGCTGCCTCCCCCTCCCCCTCCCCCTCCCTCCTGCCCGCGTCCAGCCCGGTCCACCCACGGCCCCGTAAACTGGTTAATCTCCGCCCCCATTATTGCGTAATGACCACCTCATATGTCGCCATGAACGATTCATGAAGGACAAGGCCAGAATGCCGAAACGTTTGGTCGAGTTGTTGTTTGGTGCGCCACGGCTGCAGTTTACGCAAAAATTCCCAGTGAAATCCTTTAATCTTTATTTTTCTGGTGGACAGAACCCCTTTTTTTTTCTTTTTTTTCATTTTTTAGAAATGAATTGTGCAAAAGAAATTGGCACCTTGGCGCGCTGGCACGCCGCGCCGTCCCTGCACCCAGCCACCCAGCCACTCTTCCCTCTCTGTGTCCCTCTCTCCCTCGCTCCCTTTCTCTCATTCCTGCCATTCTTCTCACCCCCAGGGCCTCTCCACCCTGAGGGGCCGATGCTTCATTCGGAGCTGCTGCCCGCGCGCCTTTCACATGAATTGCCCCGCCCCGCCCCGCCGCGCCACGCCACGCCACGCCACGCCCTCTCCCGCCCATTGAGATTCATAATAATTACGCACTCATAACTAGCTGCGGATTGTTTTAAAGCGCTTTCAGAAACGCGCGTCGCGCTTCGAGGGGCGCGCGCGCCCGCATGCACGCGCAGTGACCGGTCCTTGTCCACCGCAAAAATAAAAATAAATTAACAGACTAAATTTTACACGCTGCAGGAATTAACACGTTCAGTGCTGAACCATTTTTAAATCACGGTATTCGAATGCGATGTAGGGCGCTACTATCAATATGATTTTATTCCTCATCGTTAACATTTTAATCTGCACATGCGTATTGTAAAATTAAAATTGGAGAGAGCTCGAGAAAAGCCATTCCAACTAATAACGCATCTGGAACTAATCGGTGGTCTCTGAATGGCCCACGTAATGGCGGGCAATGTGAGACGGTGGTGAAAATATGAGTGGAAAGGGGGAGAGAGAGAGAAGGGAGTGAGAGAGAAATCACTTATTGTTGGCATCGTGCAGCCTCACCCGGTCCATCGCGTGCCCAACAGCTGCATTACCCGCTCCTCAACGCTGAATAGCGTCAGCAACGCGCATTGAGAACAAGGCGAAAAATTAAAATACAAGCAGACATCGGCCAAACTCGTGTGGGCATCCCGGGAGGATAATTACTCATAATAAAGAATGATCGCGTCCGCGGTGCGGTTATTTGACATTCTCTCGGCAGACGCTTGCCGCTCGCGGATGTTTTGTTTCTAAAACTCGTTGACCCTAGGGATAACAGCACGAAAAAAATATATGTGAAAACGAGGGGAAACTACAAGAAAGAAGTTTGCGGACTTGTCATTTCATTTCGTTTCTCACGAGCCAAGGAAAGGCCTTTGCCCCACTCTCTCTCTCTCTCCCTCCCTCTGTGTCTCTCGCTTGCTCAGCCATTAGACGTCGTCTGCTAGCGCCATATCGCCATGCTGCCTGCTTGGGGAGGAGGAGGATAGAAGTGCGGGGCCGAGATGAGCAGCAGCAGAGGAGCCCGTCGCTGCGCTGGCATCCGGGTGGACTCGGCGCAAACAAAGACAAGAAGTGTGACAGTGTACACACGGAGAGCACTGCAGGGCACGGCAGCGGCAATTAATTTTGTGTCCGGTTGAAGCTTGTCACCCCGGCATGGTGTGGCAGACCGGGCGGCGCGCGGATGGCCAGCCGGGCAGCGGCGGCTGCCAGAGCCCGACTTGAAAAGCCGTCACAAGTATACGGCGGAGTGACCCTATACAGTGTGCGACCGCAGCAATGCGAAAGCAAAATAAGAGCAATTCAAAATATTGGTCATGTGTGTTTGTTTGTATCTTCGGGGACCTCAATGATAATTCCTATACGTCCTAGTAGATCCACTAAAAATTGCTTAATGACGCATATCGATCACTAGATGAAGATGCATAGTTTTCGTAGAATATTTTATAAGTGCGGTCCCGGATTAAATTTCCGATAGCACCATCGAATTCCGCGTAAAATTCCCGATCAAACGAGCCTACATGTGATAGGGTTCTAAACAGAGTTTCACTAAGAACATCTTGCAGCGCGATGTGTCCTTCCTCTTATTCCCTGAACTGAACACCTGGTTTTTTGCTCTCTCTGTTGCAGTTAAGCCCCAGTACGTGAAGGTGACTCGGGAGTCCACCGAGCTGCAGAACTCGACGCTGATCGGCCCCTTCAGCGAGGGGGACGACCTGGCGCTGACCTGCGAGTCCGGCGGCGGCAAGCCCATCCCCGCGGTCGCGTGGTACAACGGCTCGCAGAAGCTCAGCGGTATGTCGACTCAACCACCATCGTTTCATCATTATTTATTGCCCTTCTGGCCGACTGTCTGTCGTACCTGAACAGGGACTCAACGAAAGTAAAACGCGCTTGTCTAATTCTGAAAGTATTTTCGAATATTTTATTAATTTATCGAAATAAGTCAAAAAAAGTTTTAAGTCTTGATTCGCTCTGGGCCCCTCCAAAAATTTTTTTTTTTTTAAATGTAAAAATTCAATACTCGTGTAAGTAAAGCCATATCCGGAACCAGCTACGCAAGTATATGGAATATGGTCGTGGGAAAGTAAGAGTACCGTACGCCCGAACCCGAAAGTCGTTCCGGAGTGGTCGGCTGTGGCCTGGGGGCGGCGGCTGCGGGGCTAGGCGGCTCCGCCTCTCCTGGGGGCAGCGCGGCCGCTCTGCCCTTCCCCAGGGCCGGCCCCCGCGCGCCCCCGGGGGGCCCTAAGCCGACCAGCCAGCCGTCGTTATATGGAGGTAATAGCGCGTATTCAAACTGCGTATTTCGCCCTTACAAGCGCCTTAGGCCGGCCGGCCGGCCCCCGGCCAGCCCACCCCACCGTCTATAGAGCAGGCAGCCGGCTGCGGTTACTCTTTGGCTGAGCACTGCTGAGCACACGACGCCTGCCGCCCGAGCGACCCGCTCGCTCGTGATTGGCTGAGCAGATCCCCGCGGTCCCGGCCCGGGCAAGTGTGCGCTCATTATGAAGGAGATGATGTGACCCTGACCCCGACTGACGGCGATTCTGAGCGGACACTGTGGACGACTTTGTATGACCCACCCGCGAGCTCGGCCCATCTCTCTGATCGTTTTAGTATTATTTTAAAGAAAACCCCGGAAAACGACACAACGAGCGTCCCCCGGGCGTCCCCCGGGATGCTTGCTATGTGTGGGAGAGAGAGGAGGAATGGGGTGTCTCTTTGCCCTCTTGCGGGGACTGTGTAAAAATTTAACCGCCCACCGTTGTGTCATGTAGACCGCTCTGCAAGAATACCCATTCCAAATTTAGCCTTTGGCATGTCCTTTTTCCCCGGAGGATGTAAAGGGGGTCTATGGGGGCCCGGTGGTGGGGATGACCGCGGCGCGCGGCGGTGGCTCCTAGGCCCTGCTGGCCCTGCTGGCCCTGCTGGCCCTGCTGGCCCTGCTGGCCCTGCTGGCCCTGCTGGTGGGCCGGCCGAGCCCCGCGCGCCCGCGTAAATGGCTGAGCAGATGTTCCCTGACCTGCGGCCTGCGGCGGTGAGCCGAACCTGCTGCTCGCCAACTTTGGCAATCGCCGCGATCATTACTCACCAATGAATGAATGAGCGAGCGAACGAAACGGTTGCGCGGGCGGCCGCAGATTTAGGGGGGGGGGGGCAAGCCGAGTTTGTGGGGCAGAGAGGGTGATGAAGATGTAAGCAGAAGGAAAAGGGGGTATAGGGAAAACTAGCACGGCGAGTGTGTGGAAGAGAGACAAAGAGAGACAGAGAAAGAGAGAGAGAGGGCGGGCGAGTGGTACACGCCTCTCGGCCTCACATTAAAACGTGAGAACTGCGGTCATAAAGCGAAAAGCTGCTCCTGTGTGGTGGCGCTCGCTCGCTCTGGCTGTCCCACTTTCGCGGCTCCAAACTCCCCTAAAACTCGAGGAAAAGTGCCGTAACTCTGCACGCCGTGGCCGCCGCGGTGCAACCACTGCCACCGCGGCGGCCGCCACGCCAAGGAAGTGACCAAGCAGGCGGAGTGAAATTTTACAACCGCCGAGTCCGAGGCTCATTTTTAAAGAGATTTTTATTTTGAGTCTTTTTTTTTTCGAAGGTTGATTGTTTTTTTGTTTTTTCTTCGTTTTCTTACGATGCGCTGGCCTCGTTGTACTATTGTCGCTTGTTTCCGTGTTCCTCCAGGTGACTACACGACGGAGCCCGGAACCAACGGCGCGGGCACAGGCCGGAACTCCGTGCGGCTCACGCTGTCCCGGGGCGACCTGGGCGCCAAGTACGAGTGCAGGGCGACCAACGATGCCCTGGAGAGTCCTATGGTGGCCTCCGTCGAGGTGGACGTCAACGGTAAGTGTGTCTTACGGTGTTAAGCTTTATTGCATTGCGGGATAAGAAGGAGGTGTGCACGTAGAGTTTAACCTCATAGGCAGCTCTTGATATCAGGATTGTGCTCATAAATTTTGCAAACAATTCTTGAGTGACTTCGACATAATAAAATCTATTTTAAATACTTCAAAACAGAAGTATCTCTTAGTTATGATATGGCTTAACAGTTGGTATCGTTTAATGATAACAATTTTCGTATCCATTCAAAAACTTCTAACCTACTACTGTGTGGTGTTAGACTTCCCAGACCTTCATAGGATTCCCTTTTTAAGAGAATACCCTACTACCACACTACGGTGTACAATTACTTCTTCTTGCTGAGGGAAGCAGGTGGTTGAAGAGGTCCTTTTTTTCCACCCTGAGGGGCCTGTAGTAGTTCTTGTCGCAGTAGTGGTTGGACTGAGCACACAGTCACGCATTTATACTTGACATGTCTAATACGCTACTCATTATTCAGATGAGAGTGCGGGGCACGGCGACGGTGTGGTGGATGTCGTCCTGGGGGTGCGGGGGGTGGGAGTGGGGGTGGCGGGGGGTGACGGATGACGCTCGCGCTGGCTAATGATGCTCTTGCATAGCCCCGGGACGGCATCTGCCCCCACCCCCTGCCTTAAGCCCCCCAGCTGGTCTGCAGCAGAGGTTTGGAGACGCTGTGGTAGTCTTATTGCCAACGCCCTGGCTGTGCCACCCGGAGCCTGGAGCAGGGCCACTTAGCGAGCGCCACGCCTCCTAGTGCCAAGCATTCTAGTAGTATGTTAGCTCTGAAATATCTGGCCTCTTTAGGGAAGAAGTTGTTGGCACCGCAATTAAAATACAGAAATATTTTCAAACAGTCTGTCATGATAGACATATCACATTAACAATTTGGAAAGAACAGTATCCAGAGAAGAAGACAAACATTATAAACGTCGGCTAAAACGAAATGAAATGAGTAAAACCCTGTGAAAACGCCATGCAGTGCCATACCTCCTTTTAAAGCGTGCTGATCATGACCAATCGACTCGACCTCTGCCAGGTCGCATCGCTCCTCCAGGGTCCGCCGGGGCCGCGCGGGGGCCGGCGGGGTCCGTGTCAGGGCGGTAACTCATCCTACCTGGACCCGGTCCAGCTGCG